CCTCTAAGTGTGTCATAAACCAAAACGTTAGAGTCTGATCTTTAAGCTTAATAAGCTTCCCTTTAGAAGTCCAGTATATCAAGTAGTACTGCCTAACTTTTACTTTAGGAATACATTTGCTAATTAGGCTAGCAGGCGTGCCTGATAAGTCAAGTTGCCTCTGAATTTCTACAGCCACCTGAAATATTTTAGGCATGGTGCTGTGGGGAGGGAGGTGGGAAGGTGCTGCAGGGATGCATGGTCTCTGCAGGGCGTCTGAAGGGAATACAGAGGATGGTATTTATCTGAGCAAATATTGGTTGGCTGTCTTGGATGTGAATGTCTGAATTTTCTTTGTAGGTAGGAGAGCCCAGGATGCAGTTCCCCTGACCTGTTGAAAGCATCTTGGATGCAGCTATCTCTGCATGTATACCACAGCTGGGTGAGGTGCATGCCACAGAAGTCTTCTGGATTTCTTTAAGCCTTGTAACAGCTTTTCCATCTTTGACAATTGATAGTAAACACGTGGAATTGAAATTGGTTTACCTCATTAAAAGGGAAATATTAGGCTGTGGCACACGCTTTTCTGCCAGCAAGGGTAACAAGCAGAGGTAACCAGACTGTGCACTAAAATAACTAAAACATTTCTTCTGACAATCCTTTGCTGAGGTTACTGACTTAAATGGAGACAAAATGGACACCTGGAAGTGGCAACTAAGCTGTTGCAGCAAAACAATGGAATTTTTCTGTACGTACTTGCCTGGACATCTCATGCATTGCAACAAAGTGCAAGTGAATGCTGAGTGGTGAGCACTGCAGAGGATGCAGCAAGCTTGTTGTTACATACCAGGGAATAAAGCACATGCTCTCTTCTTGCTTTCCTTACAGAAAGTATGATCTAGAGAGCATTATTAGTGAGTTTGACCGACTGCTTTGAAATCTGAAGAAAATACAGGAAGCCATCTGACTTCCTTTCCAAATGACTGCCTCTCAGATTTCTTCTGGCTTGCAGAGGAATACCTTTGATAAACCTCAAGAACATTGTGCAATGCAGAAGGAAGGGAAACGAGCATGTGTCCTTTTCTCCCTGCGCACTTGTGTTTGTGGTGTTACGGACCGTCATGTGAACCTCCTCTTCTAGAGCAGGAGTGGTTCTTGCTGCAATACCTTGCCTTAGACTGTCAAATGTATTTCCTTATATCCTAATATAAAAATAGATCAGGAGAAGGCAGGGAACAGTTGTAGCAATGGGACAGAGTGCCATAGAAGTTGAGAAAGAGCTTGTGTTGTCCTGAAATGCTGATCTGCTCTTTGGTTTGTCATGAAGGTCTCTTCTGTTCTTGAGGTCCCTCACTACCCAAAGATGTCTCATTGCGGTCCTCAGACTTTCACTCTTACAGGATTATAAAGGCAGATGCTTTAGTCTGTCCTTCAGAAAGCTCAGACAGCACTTTGAGAGAGGAGGAGTGCCACCACTCTGTGTTGCAAATCGAGCATGAGTATCGCATGAGCAAGTGCACCAGTTGAGCTCTGTGTGTCAGCAAGAGTTTTCTCTGTAAGCATCAGAAAATAATTTTTTTTTTAATCCTGGTATCATAATGTTGATGTCTCAAGGAAATCACTCCAAAATGGATAAAACTCTGGCTCAAAGTAGATGTTTGTAAGTGATAATTCCTCATGATTAAAAGTCTAATAGTAGAATTAAGTTGCATCTGAGTAAAACACAAACTACTCACTGTATCACTGTCTCCAGAGGTTTAGAAACAGAATTCTTTACTGACCCAGATGTATTTCCTGAACCATTTTGTGACAAAACCTAAATTAGTTTGTTCTGTATGTAAGACTGAGTAGATCTATGTAGAGACTAACTTAGATAAGATGCTAGGCTTGTGGTAGGAGAGGATTAGGTGCTGCCAGCTGTTAAGTGTTTAATAATTAAGCAAAGTATATAAGCAGACATTTTAATGGAAAAAGATGGGTTAAAGAAACTATACATCTAAAATTCGAACAGAACGGAGTATCGCAACTTTTCAGTAGTTGTTGTTCTTGACCCCATCAAACTGTTTACTGATTGCTTGTGCAGATGATTTTGAGTATTGAGAAATTCTTCCTGTTGAGATAAACTGCACTGTGCTGGGAGCGGCTGTCATCGTGGGGATGCCACGTTAGAGGGCAGCTGCAGAAGGGAGCTTGCACAATGCCTTGCTTGTGGAGCTGTTGTTTGACTTGCTCGCTGGCCAGTTGCAGCGTTTCTGTCTCCTGGGTTTGGGGAGAAGCTGGCTGCAGATGAGAATTTCATCTGGGCTTTCCTGCTGCCTGTTGCAAGGAGAACAAGGATGCGGGATGGGATGGCGGGAAGGTGGTGGTGCACCGAAGAGAGGGCATGGCCTCTTCGGGGAGGCCAGCTCTTCATGAGCGCAGTTACTCGGCTTCTTGGTAAACTGCCTAGTGTTGTAAAGCTTGAATTTTAAGGCTAGATTAAATATCATAGCTCTTGTCCAAGAAGTAAAAGGATGAGTAAAAACTCAATTTGGCAACTGTTTTGCCTTGGCAGTTGCAATGGCATTTGAAACTGGTGTGCTATGACTGCACTGGTCAGTGTTTATGGGACGTTCCGCTTTATGTAGCGAGTGGTTTATTGTATGAACAGAAATACAACAGCTTTATTTTTTGAAATGCCTTTCTGTCCGAAAACCTGTTCCTCTTCTGTTTTGACAGTGGAAAACTCGTTTCATTACCACTCCCACATAATATCATAAATAATGAATTGTGTATACAAATATCCTTTGGGTACTTCTGGACAACTTGAGTTGAGCTTTCGGCCACCTGGGACTTGTATTCTAAACACTGGTAAAACCCATTTCTCCCACCCCTTACCGTCTGCCCTGTTCCTCCAGGGAGAGGGAGAGGCAGTAAACTTGAAGGATTTTGCTTACGACTCCTCTGCCATAGAGTATCTGGTGCTTTGAGTTACCATAGCAAGTACAGCTGGAGGAGTCATCCTGTTGCCTTCCCCCAGTGTTGCCCTTATTTGATTCATTTATTTCTTCATAGTCATTCTGAGCTCTCTGATTCTGAACAGAGTCAAAAGGTTAAACCGTAATCTTTTCCAGTAAGATTCTGCAAATGCTTTTTCATCTTAAAAATCACAGGTCTCCATCAACTTAGTGAACTGCTTCCAGCAGACTTTGCCTTGCTTCTGCTCGTGACGCTTCTCCTTTTGGTCTCACAGATGTTTATTTTCCTAAAACTTGAGGACAGTGGATACGCTAAAAGTACCAGCGTGGAGGATAGTACAAGGAAAAGCTTAGCAAACTAAAAAGCATTTGGCTTTTGTTCCAAATGAGGGCATACTAGAGCGGAGCCTTTTTTGAGGTATGCACCCTTGAGGAATCAATTAATCAAATCTTTGCTGCTGGTGTCAGGCTCTCTCGTCCTTTTAGACTGCAGTGTCTCCCCGCGTCCTCCTCCCTGCAGTGCTCCGAGATGGAGTTAGCTCATCAGTAAACCCAGTTGCGTGCAGTTCCTTGGCCCCTGCCTCACGGATGTTAGGTTTGTGTTGCAATTCTCTCTAAAGAGGTGATAGGAGCTAAATTGTCAACTTAATTTCCCTATCTGTCCATGAGCATAGGTCAAAGGCCTGGAATAAAACCTGTGGGACAAAGTTCAAGCCAAGCTGTTGTTTACGTGGTCCTGCATGCTTCTTTGGCATGGGCTGAGACAAGGCAGCGGGGTGTTAATGATTTAGGTTTTAAATTTCTTGTGTCCTGTTTGGAAGCCTTGCTTTATTGGGATACTGTTGCGTGCACTTATCCCAAGGGGGTACGTGGCTGAATCCAAGACCGGAGAGCTTCCCTGTGGCTCATTGAGGAAAGCAGGCATCCTTCTGTGATCGCAGACACGTCGTTACTGGAAGGCTTGTTACAAAGCTTGGAGGAATTGAGGAGGAGAGTGTTGGAACACTGGTTTTGTCTGTGTTTGTTTCCTCCTCTTTCACTGCTAGGAGGAAAGCAATAATTAATACAGCTGGGTGTTAAATGCAACATTTTCTGTTGGCTCCGACTTCTTTCTGGTATTCGGTTTCCAGACTGAGCACAGACAGACGGTAGCAGTCAAGTCTTTTAGTTTAGGATCCTTCTTAGGAGGAAAAATGTTCAGTGATGATCTGTGCTTAACTTAGCTCTTCTTATCTTGAAGATATATGGCAGCCTAATGAAGGAATAGTTAACTTTGTTTTAAAATGGAGCGCATAATGTGCTGGTATTGGCAAAGAATCTGGAAGCACGAACTCTGGGTAGCGACTTCATAAGCTTATAGCTGAAGAAGAAATAGCTTGAAAGTTTATTCGCTCTCTAAATGGTGTCCAAAATACACAGTTTCAGAAAGCTTCTGGGATGCATAGTCTCGTTCTGAGTCTGTCCTTATTAGGATGATTTCAGATGTGCATGGTTGCTTTTTCCCCCCCCCCCCCCCCCGTGCGGGGCGCCGGGTTAAAGTTGCGCCCCCAGCCGTTCGAGGGCAGCACGGACAAGGTCCAGCCACGGACCTCCAACATTTTTTTTTCGTTTGGGTTTTTCCCTTTTTGGGTGATTTTAAAGTTGCATGGGTGCTTTTTCCCCCCCCCCCCCTCCGTGCTGGAGCAACGGCTTAAAGCGCAGTGTTCTCTGTAGACTCATGCATGGCGAGTGTGACACCTTTAGTTGCGCTGTTAGATGTATCAGAAAATGGTATCTAAGAACTTGATTTGAGAAAAAGCAACTCTTAAAAGGTTGTGTGCTGATTGGTCTTTTGAGGTTTTGTCTTGGTTTTTTAGCATTGTACTTGGAATAAACTGTCATCATTGATAGGAGATGGCAAAGGGATAAGTATGGCAGAGCTGGGCAGTGATGTTAAAATAAACCAAGGGGTGAGCTGATGAAGGTTACAGCTGTTGGAAAATCCCCAAATGATGATGCTTGTGTAACATTTTCTTCCTTCCTCCTGGAGAAGTAAATCCTGGAAGTGTTGCAGTTAATGAAGGAATTGACTGCACATGTAATTACAAATGTTAAGCCAAACTTCCCTTGTACCACTTTCATCCTTGTACTTTGTCTGACTTGCAATTTTTTACAGTGCCTTTAGAAAAATGACTTGCTAAGTATGTTGATAGTAATAAAGTCAAATGTGAACAAGTCAAGAGCCTTGTATGATGAAGCAAGAATGAGGGGGTTGGAAGTGGAAAACAGTTTTTTAATGTCTCCTGAAGGAATGCTTAGGAAGTAACTTTTTCTACGGCAAAGTATAAACATAGCATGGTCTAAGCACTGCAAGTGGGCAATCTTTATCCAAAGCAATTCTTGAAAATAGTTTTACTATAAACTAGTTCATCTACAGCATTGGTTACTTATGATGTCATTGAAAGGCTTCCACTCAGTAGGATGGTCTTGAGTCTAAATTTTAACCTGAGGTCATGTTTTGTTTGTGCTTCTTGCCAAGGAGAAGAGTATAAAGGAGCATGAAGAATATGCTCATGTCCAAAAGCAGCTAATGCACTTGGCAATCTTTATAAGAGCATATTTGTCCAGTAAACATAATGTAATAGGATCTAGTAGATTCCCAAATGTAGAAGATATGTTGTAATGGAAATTGTGTTAAGACTTCAGTAAGGCTTTGAAAAGTCTTCAGTTGCAGAGCTTTAAAGGTGCTTTTTATGGTCAATGTATGCGATTCGCTTTTACCATCTTGTAAAATCTTTCAAGACTAAATTAGCTTTCATTTTTTTTCAGTCTGCCACTAAGTGCAACATCTTGCATTACTCTTTGTTGGGGGGGGTGTGATCAGGTCAGCATAACTGAAATAGGGAACATTGTCTGCAAAAGTAGCAGTTAAATTGCTTTCGAAAGAAAAAAATCCAATGATGCCCCCTCAATCACTATGCTTAAAATACAGCATCCACTGGTCTGTTGTAGCATGGCGTTAAGAGGATTAATAGAAGAGGAGAGTATATTGATCTCAAGAATTCCGAGATCATCCTTTTGTCATGGGAAAGATGTCCAGTCTCCTAGTCAAACCAAACTTGGCTAATTCCACTCAAGTTCCTAGTTTTCTGTGCAATGACTGAAAATTATTTCTAGTTTTCCTTACTTCTCGACAGAAAAACCTTCCAAGTATAACAGTTTGTTAAATTTAGTTTTATGAGGATTGGATGCTGCTACTTTTAGATTTGTTTTAAACTGGAGGAGGCACTTAAATTATTCTATATTAAAACAAAAGCAGAACACGTGCCGAGTAGCTCTTGCACTACTTTTTATATGTTCAGGAGACCCAGTTACTGGGAATAGGCCCTTAATTTAAAAATAGGTCAGCTGTCATGTATAGATGTTTAAATGAACCATATAAAGCTCATACACTAATGTTTTTATAAGAGCCAGTATCTGCTGGTAAGTGTAAAGTGATAACAGCCTGAAGACTTGTTTCAATACAAATTATGTTTTCCTTGCTTTACAGGAAAATCTTCACTGACGATTCAGTTTGTGGAAGGACAGTTTGTTGATTCATATGATCCAACCATAGAGAACAGTGAGTAAATAACTGACAAGCAGTTCTTCTGTACCTAACTAACTTTTATCAGAAGCCATTGTGGTTATACATATAACTTATATGGGAATTTACATATTAACATTAAAGCTCATTAATTAACTGTTAATTTTTATTAATCTTCTAAACCAATGCTTACCAAGCTTACAGTATTGCAGCATGGAAATCGCTGTGTGCGTATTTCTCCAAACAGCTCAGCTGTCTTTTAACACTAAATGAAGGAAAACCTGATCAATCTGGCTAAAATGCATCCTTCTTGTATCGCATGTACGTTATTGGACATCTGCTTCCCCTAATATAGTCGGGGCACTTCAAATTAAGTATGAAAATGTGCTACTATATACAAATATTCCAAAGTGTCAAATGTCTCATTTGATCAGTATATCCAGATAAGCACAAAGCCAGCAATACCAGTCAGGAGCAAATGACTACCTTAGAAGGTAGATGTGCTGTGGCCGTGATAACGTGATAGTCTTTTAAATTACTCATTTCCGACTGCTCAATGACAAGCCTGGTACACAATCAGCTTGCTGCAAACACTGAGTTACTGACTTCTCAAGTGTCTTTTTTTTCTCTTAGCAGTTTTTTTTAATATTAGTGCCTTTGTGAATAGCTAGCATAGTGGGTAAGTAAAGATGCTAATAGTAAAAATGCTGCCAAGAGCAACAAGTTACTTGAGAGGCGACTTACCCAGTATTCGTTACAATCCAACCACCTCTTTCTGAGCTAGTAGTGGTCATAAAGTACTTGAGCAACTGTGCTGTTAGGCAGAGTAATTTGATCGTATTGCCTCACTTCAATTGTGGCAAATAAAACTTTGATATCATGATCGTAACTTTGGAGTTCTTGTATTTTTTAATGACTTCTGAAATGCAGTGGTAGCACACAGTTTTACTGTTTCGAACTTGTGCAGTAGGATGTTAAGCCTATGTGATACTCAGGAAGTTTGAATGAAGTAATAAGCAGAACAAAGTTTCTTTTGGATATATATGGTAATAATTACAAATCAGTAGCTATCAGGGTATTTTATTCAGGATTATTTTATTGCTTAGAACTAAAATGCTACTTTTTGAGAAGCTCTAAATTTGCTTTAGCGAGTCAGGGTGGATAATTTCCCCCATGACCTGAATGATCTGTTAGTCCTTATACAGATGTCATTAATATTAACACTTTCCATCACCCCTTTTTACTTCGTTAGAATTATAAATGATGTTTGTTTTGAATTAAAGCTGCTAAGAAAATATTGGGGATTAGGTTTCTGTATTTTAAATCTTAATATCAGACGGAACAGCTTTGTTTTTCACTGTCTGTGCTATATAAATGCAAATTATTTAAAGTAATCTTTTAGTTTTATGCAGGTATATGGGAATGAATAAAGCTTGAGAGACATGGGGTCAAACTCGCTCAAATACCGAGCCTGTATCCTGTTCTAGGATTTTGACACCTTGGTAGAAGGTTGGCTCGTTTCATCTTTTACAAGCTCCTGTCATCCACAGAAACCTATTGTCTGTAACTACTGTTAGTAACTCTGTAGTTGGATGTCTCTCACTGGTAGCATTTCTTAAATATATGAAAATAGGCTCAGCATGAATTCTGCTCTTATTTGACTCTTGTCATCTGCACTGCTTGCTTGATCTGAATTCTAAACATGGAGCGTGACATGACCATGAAGACTTTGTTGGGCAGGGGCATCTTGAAAAGGCTTAACTTTTTTCACTTGATTTCTTATTTGTTTGGAAAACAAACAGCATTATTCATTTGGTGGAAGTCTTGTGATCTGCAGCATGGCTGGAGGAATTTGCTTTCTGAAAGGTAGAGAATTGAAGGGCCCTTCTTGCATCAGAACACTTTGCTGGGAAGTAGGGATTGAAAACGTAAAAGATGTGCCCTGAGGTTCAGAACAGTACGAAGTCTGTCCTGTCCTTAAGCCCTGTAAGGCCTGAGAGAGAGAGTGTTTTAAAAATGCTTCTGTGAAGAACAGAAGAGAGAACACTTTTAAACTTACCACTAAAATTAAAAAAAATACCTTCGATGTATTTTGAAGACAGACATGTGAAACTAGTTTTGATGGGATTAGTATAAAATCATTCTTTTGACGTAAGTTCTAATCTTTTAAAAATGCTTTTTCTAAATATAAATCTTTGATCAATCCAGTCTTTTGACCCTCCCAGCTGTGTGTTTCTGATTCTGTGCAGGGTCGTCACACACAAAGTATGTAATCAACTCTTTTATTGTTTTCCTAGCTTGTAATTTCAAAACTGGTTGACAGTGCTGGCAAAAGGGGTTGAAAAGTCCAGATTCCTATACCAGGGGCGGTGTTGGAGAATGTTGCATTTTTCCCGTACTTTATAGCAGGTTATAAAAACCTTTTCAGTTTCATCTAGTGACTGGGTCTACTTTAGTGTCACAAAACTTGGAAATGAAAAAAATACAGGCTAAAGAATAGTCCAGCCTATGTGATTCCTGTTTTGCCTCCAGAAAATTGTTACTGATAGTTTATTACAGTATTCTACCAGCACTGATGAAAGGGTAGAAAGCTGCAGTACTGCTGGTAGCTTAATCTTTCTAATTTTTGTCTGCAAATAATACTTGCACAAAAAAATTGAGTCTAAAGCTAAATTGTATAGAAGGCAAGCTATAGTTAAGCTCTTACAGGAATAAGTTGCATAGCATATAAGCCTTGAGCAATAGGAATAAGACCTAATATTCCAGTAGTTTCATTTTCCAGTGTAAAAAATCTCCACCTTCTTTGGAAGTGGTAAAGTAAAAAAAAAAAAACCTGCATCAGGTTTCACTTAGTGTTTGTTAACAAAGTCAACACCACTTCAGTGCTGCTTTTCACCCTTTCCTTTGCTTGTATTATGTTAGAACCAGGAAAGTTAAAGTTAACAAGCATGCTGAATTTAGTTGCTTCTTCTAAACTTGTGTATCAGGAACAGTAACTTGTAGCATTTTGTGGCAGCAGCGGAGGTGAGAGTTAATTGCTTAGCAAAACAGAATTTCCCTTTCTGAGTGTCCCGACGGGAGTGCCACCATGATGCGTGGCTAGTCTTGAGACAGACAGATTGAGAAACTATTACTTTTGGAACGATGACTTGCAGGAGTGTTGGAAAGAGAAGGAAAGTCCTTGCAGAGCAGGGGTGTGTGGAGGGAGTCTGTGTGGATGCTGGCTCTGAAGGCAGGTTAGCTCAGATGAGCGAAGACCAGAACGATTTAAAAGTCAAGAATTTTACTGGAATAAAAACTAGAATCTTAATTTGGAACTCAGAGCAAATAGGTCAGACGGAATAGATAATGAGGATGTGCACATAACTCTCCCCACCCCCAGCTTCGCAGAGATGTCTTTGGTTATCATTAGGTCAGTGATTTTGTGTTGCAGAAAAGCTGACTTGACCGCCCGAGTCGCAAAAATGTTTCCTCCAGCTCCTCTGAGGCCCGCCTGTCTGCTTTCTGCTTTTCCGTGCAGTTTCGGAGAGGCTTCTAGCACTGTGCCGTGCTCTCCGTCTTCCTTTTTTTCCCTGAACAGGCTCAGTAGCTCCCTAGGGGAAGGAACAGTCTTCCCCCCAAAGGCTTCCTACCTCCACCCCATTTTTTTAACACAATTGTGAGTAGAAGCGTATTAGAAAGGGGGAGGGGGCTGGAGGCACCCTCGTAGTTGTGGAGGGGATACCTGTAGGTTTAGATGGGTCTGCTAGAAGCATCTTTAAGGCTAAACTTCTTCCATGCACGTCGTGGCAGCTGCACTGGAAGGGTGAAGTGTGCTTCTTCCCAGGAGTTGCTGATGAGCGGCCTTCTCAAGGGGTGGAAATGAGGCTTCTGAGGAAAAAATTAGAAATAGCTCTGTTGCATTACATATCTCAGTGTTGTAAAAGATGTCCTGGCAGATTAGTGTTAGGCATTGACTTTGGGATGAAGACAAGCAGAAAGGGATGCAGAAGGCAGCAACTGAGGAAGCCTTACGAGGCAGTCGTATTTCGCTACCAGCCACTACCTCTGTGGGAATAATGTTACACCACTCTCGTACCTTTACTCAGTGGCACTGTTGATCTGAAAGTCTGCATTCGTATGCCTGGTACTGATTTCTTATCATAATGTCCTGTTGTCACAGCAGCTGTCTTTGGAGTTGCATATGGAAATCATTTCATTCATGTTAGTCTAATTGAAATATACTTGATCTTAGGGTAACAACGATCAGCAGCTGATGGAGTTGCCGCATAAGTTACACTTTTGCTGAGCTGTAGCAGCATTCAGGGCTGCGCTCTGCATGAAATTTTACCAGGACTTTCTCTGACAGCAGAATGGCTTTAGTTCTTTGCAACGGAGCTGTTGACTGCTGCACCCTGACCTGTGCGCATAGATCTGTTCGGTGCTGTGCTGTTCACTGCAGCACCAAATCCTCCAACTTTCAGCAGTGCATCAGAACTAGACACAATTGTAGGTGAAGGTGGGGATTGCAGCTTTCTTCCTATAGCTACACTCGAGCTATGCATTGCAAGCTGTAAGCCTGTCCTGTTCCGAGATCTGTGTGCTTCGTGGAGCTGCAACAAGCTTTACCCATGCTTCAGCTGATGAGCAGTGTTTCACAGATGCTCACGTTATGACTAGGACTGCAGAGCTTGTTCAGGTCTGCTGAAATCTGTCTTTGGCGTACCAGAGCCATACTGTCCTGTGATTGTATTGTTGTTGTTTGTCTTGCTCGTGGGCACAGCAGAAGGCAATGTGTCCCAGGATGGTAGCTGATGGAATTGGAAGTGAAGACTTCCTCTGGATCAAGGGGACCTGTGGATCACTAATGACATTTAATAGAGCTGCAGGTTTTTCCCAAGACTAAATTCCTACCAGGAATATTTTTAAAAAGCTTCAGCAAAGAAATGGGACTCAGTAATTATGACTGCGTCAAAGCAGATTTGTGTTCTTGCAGTGGGCTGTTCCTGGTGCTGCAAGCCTCTGCACTGAACTAACAGTTCTCCTCACCCAGTCTGTGGCGACTCCTCCACTGTTTCCCTTCCCCTGGCTCTGTCACACTCTTCTTCCAGTACTGATGATGATGATGTCTTTGCTGGGTCTATTCTAGGCTTCTGGAATAGCCTGAAAAAGCTGCCATCTGTCTCCGTCCCTTTTTAAATATTAACTTCATGAGGCTCTTGAAGCCACTTTGATTGCGGAGTGCTTTCATGTGTATATGAAGTGTCAAGAGACTGGAGACTTACTTTTAATATACCTGTTAATGCAGTATCTCTCCAGATGAGTCTGTTTTCCCTCCGACTTGAAGCAGCGATACTGTATATAGCAACGCTGCATGTTAACATCTGCTCAAACAAACGGTTGCTTCTGTCCCCACCACAGTATCCATCCAAGGCAAAAAGCTGTTGTGGATTCTTGCTTCGTAACCCTAAAATTTTGTGCAGCGATGACAACAGTGTCCGGACAGTGACTTGATAGCAGCTCGCATGGACGTGTGCTAAAGCAGCTTTCTTAGGGGATAGACAGGGTAAGGTAGGAGCTCTCTCTGAGGCTCCATTTCAACTGACACTTGTCAGTATTGTAATGGAAACTGTAGGTACGCTTTACACTGTTTATTTAGACACTCTGCATTAATTTGGCTTTGCTGTTTGAATTACTCCCTTTTTTTAAAAAGGGTGTTTTGATTTACTAGGTGGGCTGAAACCTCCAGTTTCAGATATTTCAGCCCACTTACTCAAGATAATGCTCACATTGTGGAGACTCGATGGGGCAACGAGCATTGGCAGGGAGGAGGAAAGTTGGCGAACTTCAGCTTCTAGGAGACCCTGTACAAAACCCAGAAGGCGTAGGCAGGAGACTGCACAGCGGGGTCGAGAACATTCAACTTCGCAGCTTCGGGAAGCTGTTGGACGATTTTGAGTGTGATGAACAGGTCACTGCAGTGTTAGCTATGTCCCTGCTCATCACTGCAATGAAAGATGAAGCTTCTTAGGACTGTTAGTATTTGGGAAAACCAGCTCAACCAGATGACACCACAAACTTTACTCAATATATCAGTACTGTCCAGTAATCGTGTCTTGAGCGCAACGCTAATGCCAAGGTGAAGCTCTGAAGCCAGGTTTATGTGCTCTGGTTGGTACATGTAGTGCTCGGTAGTACATTATTCCTACAAGAGCTGTGACACTGTTTGCTTTTGCAGTTGCATAATACAAACACTGAGTAAGATTCCTCAGCTCACAGTGCGTTGGCATTTCATGAATCCGAAGAGGAGAAGCAACGCTCATCGCTTTCAGGGACTGAATGTACTTCCTGACCGAGGACTAGATCGGCTGGTAGCAACATGGCGAGCTTCTAGCTAAATTCTCGTTATGTAGCTTTAGTAGTATATTTGTAAGTTAGGCTGTATGTGGTTTAGCCTTCAAAGAATTTTTTTTTTAGTCCAGATCATTTACCTCATGGTATTTACATTTAGGAAATTGATTTTGCTAAACTGCTTGGAAACTGAGGAAAATATCCTATAATAAGTTCAAAGTTAGCTTTGATGTTAATTGTATTTAAGTATCTTGTGTTACCACAAATCACAGTCGCCTGGAAGTCTCTTTGAAGGAAAGAGTAAAAAGGCTTTTTATGTGCATTTCTAAGTAAAGGAGAAGCTGCTGCATCCAATGTGAGAATCTTCTGAAATTTGAATTTTTGAAGTAAATTCTGTTGTCTGTAATATACTAGTTAAGAGTACACCCACCTGATCCAGCCTTTTACTGCTACTTTAAAGCCTACAACTGAAGTTCTTTTTCTTAGTGCCTCGGCTGACGATGGCATAGATGAGTGACTTCTGATCGCTTCCTTGTTTATAATTCTGAAATGTGTATGTATCTCTTATTTGTTCTAGCTTTTACAAAACTGATCACAGTAAATGGCCAAGAATATCATCTTCAGCTGGTTGACACTGCTGGCCAAGTAAGTTATCTTTCTTTCTTTGAGTCTTTCTTCAGAGTTAAGACAAGTATTTGTGCTCCTGTAGAGCTAAGTTGGTAGCAGCCATCCATTCAAAGCTGAAGTTCAACATAAATGATTCTGCCTTGTCATTTAGTCACCAAAGAACAATGGTTCTGTAGTGTTTATTCAAATGGTTTTGTTGGGTTTTGTTTTTTGATTTGTTTGTTTTTTTGTTTTTTTTTCTCCTGTATATTGAATGTATACCTGAAAAAGTGAAGAAGGAACTGCCTTAACTCTGATGTACCAAAAGTTCATAAGTAGCTTGCTTGATATTTACAGACTAATCAGTCTTGCTTTGGATGGAAAATGTCACTTAAATGAACCATGAAGAAGTTTTTCCATGACTTTTTGCTATTTGTGTGCTCCAGCTACACCACTGTGAGTTATATCCATGGAATAGTCACAGGGGAGCGGACAGAAATGCGTATAGGTAGTACTTACTGGGCTACCAGTAAACTGCTGCAGTTTGTTTACATTTTTAAATAAGTGCTGATCCATGCGTGCTGCTGAGCTGCGTGTAATGACGGGGAGCACAGGAGGAGACGGTGAACACGTGTCCTGTGGCACCGTCAGGAGCTTCATGAAGTACAGGTGTTCATTATATAGTGCTGCTTGGTGGAACTTGCTGTGCACATTCCATGCACAGGAGTGCTCCGGCTTTTGAAAGACTTTATATTAAAAAAAGGGGGAAGAAAAAAAAGGAGAGAAAAAAAAAAACCTCAAACCAGAAAACAGACTGTTAAACCCCTGTATTTTTATCTTATGTTTTTTTATTGCTTACGTGTTCTTACTGTCTTTGAGTTCTGATATTATGCCTTTGGGTTTTTCCAAACTAATGAGTAGTGTTAAACAATCTTAATGTTGTAAAATACACAGCCAGTACTTAAGACTTTAAAGCTGCGGGACACTTGCTCATAGCTGGGACACTATTCAGAAGGGTTGTAACCTTCTAGGTGTGTTTGGTCGCTTTCTTTGAAGAGAACTACATGACTTAAGAATAACCACGCTGTATTTATATGGTGTCAGCTTGTGGTGCTAATCAACAACACTATATCCACTTACAGTCTGTCAGAGGTGTCTGAAGTGATTAAAACCACAATACTGGCGACATGTGCTGGGGCAAGACTGTGTGATGGGGAATATGCAGAGGAGAGCAGGGTTGCGATGGGCAAGCTGTGAAGTGTGAGCAGCAGAGCAGGCTCCATAGGTTTCACTGTGTGCCACTATAAGTGTGCTTGCCTTACATCTCCAGCTGTAGCGTAGTGATAGAAGTCAGATTTCTCTTTGAGGAAGAAATGACTGCCTGGGAAGGCAGTACTGTAACTTCACTGGTAACTGACCTCTATTGCTGAGGTTTATTTTCAGGGTTGATTTAATGTTGTACAGTATTGTAAAATCTAAATAACTTCTTTTCCAGCCTGTGGTTATTTTCAGATTTGATTCTTCCTACGAATGACTTGAACTTTGAGTTCTGGCTCACGGGGTTAGAGGGGAGAGATGATGTTGGGTTATGGAAGGTGTGGCTTGAACAGATTTCCTTCTCAAGTCTGTCTTGCTTAATGATCCATAGGGAGTCCTTGCGTATACAGCATAGCAAGGATTATATTGTAGATTTGTTAACGTACTTGAAAACTTGGCTATGGCTTGAAAAGTTATAACTATGTTGTTTTATCACTTGGCAAAGTTCTTAATTTGACCCACAAGTTCCAGGAAGCGTAGCAGCTTTTCCTCCTTCTCCTAACAAGCTAAAAATTAAGTAACAAATTAGAAAAAAGTGAGGTTATGGCACTTACTTTTCTTGCTACTTCTCTTCTGTCCCATGCCTCTTTACCTTTCAGTTATCTATTCCGATTTGGCTAGTTCAGTTAAACAGGAGTCTTGGTACAGGATCACAGAAGAGGAGCGCAAAAGGAAATCTTACCCAACACCACATTCCAGCTGGGGCAATCCTGAGAAATTGTGGGTAAAGTCAAACAACTACAGAGTTGCACTTTCACCTGTTTTACAGGCAGACTAGGTCAGATCCCTTCTGTGTTGACTTTGGGATTATGCGGCCAACTGAAGTGGCAGTTTGGCATTTCAGCGAAGATGGGGGAGGGCTGCCCTCAGTGTGTAGCAATAAAGGCAAATAAGGGCATCTTTTGTCAAGTGTTATTCTTTCAGACTGTTTTGGCTGAATCTGTGAAGTTGATTTATGAAGGGTTTTTCCTCATTTGTCAGTTATGGAAGTTTGATTCCTTTTGGCTGTCTAGATTTAAGCTGTGTGATTGCACTGCTCCATCTGTTCAGTCACGGCAATGCACAGAAAGGTTATGTGATCTTAAGCTAAAATTAACATCTTAAGAAGCACAGGTTTAAAAATTTGTGAGCTTGTACATTAAGAAGTATGGCTCTTGTCAAAATGGAAGTGTTTCCTGGGAACATGTATCAGAATGGTTTTGGTTTTTAACATGAGATTCATAGTTTTTGTGTTGCATTTCCTGCAATATGTAAGTCTTTCATTTGCCTACTTGGTCAGTTCCTTTTCTACAGGGGTAATAAATTCAGTGGTTAAGTTTCTGTTGTTTTGTTGTCCTCTTTTTGCCTTTTTTTTTTAATTAAACACTTGTCATATAATGTAAACTTCTAGTTGTCCTAAAGCAGCTAGTAACTGCATTTCTTGCATCTACAGTTGATAAGCATTAGTTAGTTGGTAAGCCACAGTTATTCACTTCCTAACAGACCCCTTAGATAATTTAGATGTGTCACTTGAAATTATGAACGGCTAGACCCTGTCATCTGCTGTTGAAATTAGGAATTTGAAATGTATCACTAGCAAGATAAGAGATGTAATTGCTAATTAGCGGTAGGACAGAGTGGATGTTTTGTACTAACACAAACTGATAATTAAGCAGGCTAAGAGGATTGGGAATAGCTTTAGCTGATCCACAGTCTTAGAGGGAATAAACCAAAAAATATGTAGATTAAATTTTAGAGTACACAGACTGACTCAGCTTTCTCTTAATTTGGTAAAGATTCCACATCTGGCATTATAATGAAAAAACATAATTCTGAAAGTACTACCTATACAAAATGGTCCTGCACCTCATGTCTTAGAAATAGACCAACTTAACTGCTGGTGATGTGCTAGCATCAAGTTCTGAACTGTGGCAGTAAGTAATTTTAAATGCAATATTCCTTTTACAGGATGAATACTCCATATTTCCTCAGACGTACTCCATAGACATCAATGGCTACATTCTTGTTTATTCAGTCACGTCAATAAAAAGGTAATAAAATCTGTTGTGTTCTTTCTGGTTCAGATAGTAACCAGATATATTCTGGGTTCAGCTCCTGCCTCTGCTATATTTTCTTTACGTGTGTTTAATTCATTGAATCTCTCTCTCCCTTAGAAGTATAACGGAAATAAAAATTAATGGCTTTCAAGAAATTTCCCCTCAGATCCAAATGTCACAGATACTTTACAGACTAATATGCCAGGTACCATGTAAGAAACGAGACAGTGCTGACCTACATTGTTTTGAGGTGTAAGTAAAAGTACATGGAATGATTTCAAGAATAAGTAGAGTTCGTTGCTGTAGCACCAGATACAAAGGCAGACTTAAATATGAACCAAAAGGGCACTGCTCATTTATGTGAAGTACCCAGTTAGTTGCTAGATTGGTCCCTCACCCTTGTAGCTTGTTACAGTATTGAGATTTCTTTGACTTCTTGGCTTGGATTGTTCTAGTTAACCATCAGAAACTTTCCTATACATAGCAATATATCAGTATATGACTTTTGGCCTGTAGACTCACTCTTGCCATGCCGCAGCAAATATGTTATTTGAAAAATTTCCCAGAATACCTATTTCGTCCTTGCTGTTGGCTGGAGTCATTTGCTTGCAAAAAGCATCTCAGCCTTCATAAGGTTTTGTCATCTTCCATTGTTTGTCCCTTCCATCTGGTTGTCTTGCTTTGTTTAAATACTGGTCATTCTTGAATAGATCTTAATTTTCAAGTACTGTACAGCATCTTTGTTATGACAGTCAAAATAATCCTATTTTTTGGAATTTTTGTTTGAGTAAAATGATTAAGACCTTAGGCCTTTCACTCTCTTCAAGTAGAAGAGAAGTTGATGCTTCCCTTCTACTTGCAAGGAAGCTGATCAGCTTTTTACAAGTGCTGAAGCGTTCCATGTCTTTTCCTTTGAAGCAGACAAAATGGGTCCTCTCAAGTGCTCTTTAGTAGACCATCATAAAATACAGGTAAAACAACTTGCCTGTTGGCTCTTCTGTGCTTCTCAAAGAAAGGATACGATCTGGCTGTAAATTTCCATTGCTTGCAAGGTCTTTAATGTTGAGCAGGTTTTGGCAGTCCTTCATTCTTGGTTTTCATCTTTAGTTCTGAAGTAGTGAAGGGCAAGCACACGTGATCTGGAGGAGACGGAACAGACGTTAGGCTTTCATGTGCATCTAGAGATATGAAACTACGTAACTCCTTTTTTTTAATCAGAGCTTCATTGTTGGTGATGAATAACTTCTATGAAATAGGAGTTAGTATCCTCAGCCTCAAGTAGGCAATACTCAACTTCTAAAGGGAAGAGAAAAAGGTTCATTGGTAAGTGGTACTGTGAGGACACAAATGTCTTTGACTCAAATCAGCATAGATCCTTGGAGGCTTCTGCAGCTTGTGCCGTTCCCTGGTTGGCAGGTAAAGGAGATGCTCTTTTTCAGCTACTCCAGTTGTTGCCTCATGATGTCTTGAGCTTAGCAGCCCAGATAAAGAAATGAAAATGTTTTCTGTGGTAGCATTCAATCAGTTAAACTAGAAACCAAATTATGGTGAAAATACTAACAGAACAAGGTATGTTAAGAGTGTAGGCAGATAGTATTTTTATCGGTATTTTAGTCTTGATCTGTTTATTCCAAGTTTCTTGTTTCTTCCTTTAAATTGCAAAGTATCAATGATCCTTATGTTCTGTATCAAGACAGTGTTAGGCAACAGGAAGATCTTCCACAACAGGCAATCAAGTTAGTCACCATCTGTCTTGACTTCTGTCAAAGTGTGTATGTTGATCTGAGTATTGATCCAGCAGAGCAGAGAGCTTTGACAGCAAACTTAATAGAAATGCCTTTTTAAAATTATCATCTTCCCTGTTAACCTCCAGTGGGAAGTTTAAATGGGACTTGAGTAGAAGCTAATGCCCTACATTTTCCATATTCTCAGGCTCTCAGCAGCAAGGTTACCGGAAGGCTTTTGCTCTAGTTCAGCTTAATTAAATTCCAATTTTGTATCTTGCTAGGTTCCATGATTTTGTGTAACACATTTATCTGATAGCTAGTAATTTTTTTTGTTGTTGTATTTCACACATTGAGCTGTTCGCTGTAACCATGTTTGCTTGTCACAACTGGAAAGGACCTCTTATGGTCTCCAGGTCTCTTGCTGTTTCACAACTTGATTTGATGCTCTTTTTGAATTGGTCAATATCTGTCTTAAACTCTGCCTCTGCTCCTTCTAGCCTTATTACTTTGGAAAGCTTTCTAGAACATTAAATTGATCTGGTCAAGCCAATTTCATTCTTGGCAGTTCTTAGCAACTTGTTTCTGTGTCGGAATTGTGTGTGAGTTTAAATAGCACTTCTCTTTTGGTTTCCACCTTGATCTATTAACAAAGATCCGTTGTTTATTCTTAGTCTTTTTACTAAAAACGGAGCTTGTGAACTATACTAGACAAGCAGATAAACAGAACTGGGAAATGAAGAGCCTGAGTTGAACAAGAACGCTTTGGAGCACGGTGCACTGGAACCTCGGGTGAGGGCTCGCCAGGGTGCTGTGCCATGGCATGGCTTTTTCTAGCTGTGCTGGGAACAGCAGGCCGAACAGCGGAAAGGAAAGGGTGATTGTATTGTGTTAGTGATTCAGTTATCGTGTGGCTAGTACGCTACGTCTTTCCTGTTGCTTCAGACTGAGAAACAGTTTTGTGGTCTGTAGCAGAATTTTTCTTTGTAGTATTTTTATTCCTCTTTCAGTTTGCAGGGTCACCTAGTTCTATATGTAGCAATGACTCTCAACTTTGTCACAACCAGCCTCCTTTTAACTCTTACTTTTGAAATAATTATAAGAATGAAAGTCCAAGACAAGTTCTCAAAGACCAGAATTTCACTAATACCTTTTCAGCATAAGCTCTTTGTAGCCCTGAAATCCTTTCATTGATTCCACATTTTAATGTAACCCGTAGTATCGTACTTGAGGTACTAATAGTAAGCTGTGCCAGACTGTCACGCTTTTGTTTGCAAAGAACTCATTTTCTTGATAGGTTATACTAAAACTATTAGCTGAACATGGAGAAGTATCATGTTGTACTCAGTAGCAAAAATTATTGCTGAAGTCAGACAAATTGACCTACTTGACAGAAAATCCTTCTTAAATATGGCAGTGTTCATTGTTCCAGAAGTGAGAAGTTGTAATGATTCAAAAAGCTTCAATAGTGTTTTTAGGCACCGGTTCTTTGAGAGCTCTGAGTTGGAAGCGTGTTTGAGTGCTGCTCTATTTTTAAGGGTCTCAATTCTAATTGAAATGCAGTGCAAGTCAAGAAGCTGCCTGTAGCTAACAACCTTGGAAACTGGAAAAGCTTCGGTCACTTTTTTGTTGTATAGTTGTGTGTCTTCTCTGTGAACCTGTGCCTCTCTCTTAAAAACAACTCTGAACTGTGCACTTCATGTACCAGCATTTTTTGCATACTGTAATTAAAGGAGCACAACATCTGCTCTTCAACCCTGTTTATAGCTTGTTCGCAAAAGTACTAAATGTCAAATGCAGTGGATTTTGTTAGTGTGGGTTTTGGCTTCTTGGTATTTCACAGTACTGCTTCTTATCTCCCGTCATCCAAACTTCGCGTACGTGGTAGGTGGACAGACAACAAGTATTTGAATAATCACTGTTTCTATACCATCTTGCATATCAATTTACTCACTTTCCACAGAAAATTAGACTTTAGGCTTCCTTTGGCTTTCACATAAATAAAATTAAAGAATTTGATATGAACTAAGTGTTCTTAAAAAAATGTATTCCTTCAAGATGGAGTGTGCTTAACCGAATACTTTTTCTTTGAAACTGCTTTAACTTGACATGCTCATCCAGAGTTGTTGGACTGTAGCAGTTAAATACCTTACTGCAGATACAAGCCAGATGGGAGTGGGAGGGGCTCATAGTGATCCTGTGTTAGATGCATCAGTCCTGGGTAACGTTATTTATTTCTGCCAGTATCCTAACCGGGGAGGCTATAACGGTAGGCACAGGCTGGTCTTTGCTGCTTCTAGGACCGTTTTGTCTGTTGTACACAAATCGGTAAGGCTTTCGGCATCTTTGTAGTTCTGCCACTATACCTAGAGTGAATTTTAAACACAGCAGCCTACATGTGCATTTAATTGCTTGTGTATTGGGTATTAAGGATAAACATTGGAGTGCATGTGTGACTTCATCCCTTTATTTTGCAGTTTTGAAGTGATAAAAGTTATCCATGGCAAGTTATTGGATATGGTGGGAAAAGTCCAGTAAGTAGTGACACTTTCATCTCATTTCACTGCAGGCATGTTACTAGTACTTTGTTCAGTATACTATAACTGTTCTGAAGTTCTGAACTTTCTTTCACAGAATACCCATTATGCTGGTTGGAAATAAAAAAGACCTGCATATGGAACGGTATGTGAACTCCAGTATGTGTGAAATGCAAGACAGCAGCCGGCATTCC